GATCACCAACAACTGTTACATTTGTGACTGGCTGTGCCCTGCTGGGTGGTTATATACATATAAAAATACACTGTTTCTTTCAAAATGGAGAACAATAGTAATATATAGACCAGGCATAGGCAACCTTCGGCACTCCAGATGTTTTGGACTACACCTCCCATGATGCTTTGCCAGCATTATGGGTGTAAGAGCATTATGGGGGATGTAGTCCACAACATCTGGAGTCCCGAAGGTTGCCTATCCCTGATATAGACGATAAGAATACAATTAGCAATGATTTCCCCACTTACTTGGGCCCCTACTGGGATCTGATGCTCCATGGTGCTCAGAAAGTTGCACAGAATTAACATTATCCAGCCTGGACCTCTAGTGAGACTGGCTGATGACTCAACAATGATGCTGCCGAACGTGGAATTATTCCTCCAGCAGCAGAGGGGTTATTCTGTGTATGTGTAGCATTCTTTAGCAAAACACTGCACATACAGACTCCAGGCACCATCACTAAAATTTAAGTGGTCTTAAAGCTTGGAGTAACTCTTTAATTTAGATTTCCTTGTCTCCTTCTCTGTTAATTGCCTGCCAGATTCTGAAGAGCCTCATGCATATGATTACATTTCAATTAACAGAGCAGGAGATAAGCACTTATAACACTGTTTACTCATGTAGGCTGTGTGAGTCATAGCGGGTGAGGTGTGGCTAGGGCCGTATATAGAGAAATCCTAAATGGAGAGAATTGAGCAGTGAAACTGTAGGGGCATGAGCAATACACCAAAACTCATACAGTTAAAGTTGTCACTTCTAGTTTTCCTGTTGCAGCAGATGGAGAATTGTAACTGTAGTAAGTGTGAGTTTTACCAGGATTCAAATGAATGCAAATTATCAAACTTTTTAGGCAAAGTAAAGTGTTAGATCAAAACTAAACAAAATTATATTGGAATCAGAATTGTAGAAAGCAGAGGAAAGTCAGAAAAAATATTTTGGCTTGTAAAGTAAAGCATTGGATCAGAACTGGACAAAATTATAACGGAGTCAGAATCATAGAAAGAAAAGGAAAGTCTGAATTTTTTTTTAGTTTTCCTACACAATTTTATCAGCTGAATGATGCTGCTACAGATAAAGTCAGATTAAGCCTATAATAGACTGATAACTTATTTTTCAGTAAAGAGCAAAGATCACTGATAAATTATTTGATTTTCACTTTAGAAGCAGAAGCAGGAAAGAGTATTTTGTTAGAACATGAAAATGTACCCAAGGCAGCTATATAAACGTACTTTACGTTTTTATTAAGTGCCATCTTCAATAAGGACTGTTATTTTAGGCAGGGGAGCATACTGCTGGTTTTCCTTAAACTATTAATGTGTGATGGGCCATGACTTTAAAGCTTTTCTTGCCGACCCTTCATGTACTGTATCACAAAATGGAAGTATGTGCATTTTGTAAAAAGTAGTGTTATAGAAATTATATACTGAAAAAAGTAGTGTTATGTTCAAGAAACAATCACTAAATAATACACTTAAAGGGACACTCCAGGCCTCTAAATCATTTTAGCTTGCTGTAAAGCTTTATGTGTGAAAAGTGTGTCCTATTTTTTCATTTTACAATAAGTGCATATTTCAATACAAATTGGCACTTTTATAAATTTATCTGGTTACACCCCCCTGGCTGTCAAGTAGACAACATGTCCTGTTACTTTCTGGTTTGGATTGCTTAATGGAGCTAAAGTCAAGGGACAGCAATTATTCAGAACATGTGGTTTGCAAAGACTTCTCATTGAGCTGCATTGGGAAGTCTGTGATTGGTCAGCCACAGAAAGGCTGGGTGAGGTTAGAAGGGGAGGGGCTTGCAAAGGCAGCAGGCAAGAGAACTGCAGTTTAAGTAAGCTTTTTAAATATATCCCTAATGAAACTATGTATAATTAAATACATGCAAGTTTTCATTTACTACTAAACAATGATTTTTTTTTTGTTTGTTTATTTTGAATATGGGCAGTGGAGTGTCCCTTTAATGTGGGAGCTATGCATTAGTGTGTGTTTTGTTCTTGGCTGCCATAGCTGCCCTCCTGAGACAGCTTACTTTACAGATTGAGTCAGTTCATCAGAATATTACATACATATTTTTTTTTTTCGCATCAGCTAACCAAAATCTGTGAGTTTGTTTTGGACGAAATGTTGTAAAATTCACCAATTCACTGCTACTACTATTGATTGCAATACATACTGACTTTTGATTACATTTTTTTGACTAAACAGTAGGCAAACTTTTATGAATCCAGAACTGCAAAGAAACAGTGACTCATTAAAAACAGAGTCAGAATGTGAGTCTTTCAGAATGAATAACTATCCAGAGACTATATGCAGTACTCAGAATCAGAATAAATTAAGGTACAGACATTAAGAGCTCTTACACTAAAAATGTAAAAAGTAAGTGGGGATAGTTGCTTACTCAGCATATTATTATAAGACAAGAATTACACAATAATAATCTAACTGGCAGTACAAGTGTGCCCCAAATACACCTCCTCAGTGAACAGCAGTTAACATGTTGCCTTCCATTAATCTTTTATATAATAATGATGGCAATAATTTAGCAACATTGATCCAATATTTCCGAATCGCTGACCAAATCCCAAAATAACATTATACATGGTATACAAATCAATATACAGGAACATAAATATTAAAGAATGGCATTTTGTGACCAGTAGATGATGCTGTTGGATTGTAGATCACTAAAGATTGTGTGTGTTTTTTGATGGCTAATCTTTTCTGCAGTTGTCTGTGATTTTACATCCCCAAATTCTAAGTCAGTTATATAGAGATGCACTTCAGAAACCTCTGCGATGCCAACTTTCTCATTTGTAAATACAGAGAAAATATAATTAAAGGGATTTTACCAATAATATTTATTTACATTTTTAGTTTATTATGTTGTAAGTACATAGACCTATCTATACTGCATTTGCAAGATCTGCACCAGATTTATTTGTGAATTAGATTTGCTGGTTTCTTACATACAATATAGAAATAGTTAAAGAGATATACCAGTGCTAAAATATTATAAAACTAGTTGGCTGGTTGAATAGAATTACAAATGCTCTTTTGATATTATTTTTTATTATAAATGTATATGGGTTTTGTTTCTGTAACGGTGTTTATTAACAAACAGCCCACACACTTGCTCACACTGACACCTCGCTTGTCCTTACTTAAACTCCCCTGATTTCATTCACAGCTCAGTTATTACATTTCCCTTATTTATTTCTCATTATTTTCTGCCGTCTTGTTCCTTTCTACCTCCCACCTCAACTTCTTTTCTGGTGTTTGTATTCACATCCTATCCAGACACATTGCCCCTTTCTAGAATATCTGACACACATGGTTAACTTTTCTCCAATACCAGTCTCTTTCTCTTTAACCACTGATTTTATTAATGTCTCTATTGCCATATAAGGTATTTCCCTGTCTTTTTAAATTTAATTTCCGTCTGATTGCTCTCCTTCGAACATGCCTCTTTCAGCTGCTCCTCTGTCTCTTATTATCTCATCACTCACTCGCGATATGCAATATTGATTCTGTATATGGAGCTAATAGTTATAAAGATGCGCAGGTCCCTGCATATTATCTTCAGATTACTCATCTGTTATGTCTGCATAAAATAATTCTCCCTGCAGAAATTTTCAGAGCTACATGACTTTTAACCATCTTTTATCTGAGCCTTGGTTGATATTTCAAGGTAAATGAACATCTTAAGCCAAGTTTGAAACTTAAGAGACTTGGAGAATTCCTCCGATAGGTCTAATTTGACCTAGAATATGACATTTCATGGTCAATATATGATAATTCCCAGTTAGGGAACAATCATAAATGTATCTTTTAAGTTTGGCTAACAATGACATCTTAAAAATAAGATGATACTATACAGGATTGTTTTCATTCTGTTTTTTTTAGGGTTTTAGATCAAAAGTGGTTATCATCATGGTAGGTAAGTAGTGCACTGGAAAATAAACCCAGGTAGACAAGGGGTACCCATGTACCCAGGTAGACAAGGGGTTAAACCATAGTATTAGTGTTAAAAACAGGGATTAACTAGAGGTTAAACCATAGTTCTGTCCGTATAAAGCAGCAAGTTAATAGTACCTTCGTTAGCCCTTGTTAGGTGAATAGTGCACTGGAAAAGTATGCCAGTGTACCCAGGTAGACAAGGGGTTAAACTATGGTCTAAGTGTTAAGTAACAGAGATTGACTCAAGGTTAGACCATAGAACTATCCAAGTGAAGCATAAATAAACATAGATTAGATAATACAGTACTATAGTATATTCAGCTGCACCCTAAAATATCCACACACAAAAAAGCACAATGTACAGGAAAGTGATACAGGAGATCGGTCAAGCATAAGACAGTAAAGTGTAGTAAAGCCTCTCTCCCTGTTAAACTGACTGGATAGGTAGAGGAGTAAAAGAATAAAGGAGTGAAAAAAAATGAGATAAAAAAACTAATGAGAGTGAGGCATGTCTATAAATCAGATAGACATCCTACAGTGAATAGTGATAAGTGCCCTAAACACACTCCAAACAAAACGCCTGACGCGTTTTGGTGCAGTACAATGTGCACCTTCGTCATGGGACGAAGGTGCACATTGGCTAGAGTTTACTCTCACCAGGACGAACCACGAGGGATGGCAGCACGGTCCCCATCTTAGGCAGTACGGCTACCCCCCTCCCAGGCTAAAGGTAAGAAGAGAGGGATATATCTTTTTTTTATATAAAAAAGAATACATATTTAAATTTAAATAAAGATATTTACATACACAGCACACTCACACACACACACACAGCACACTCATATATATATATGAAAAATAAAGTAATGCTCTTGCACTCACGCTTTAGTATCCCTAAAGCTAGCAAGCCAAGGCTAGTATTATCCAATCTTCCAAATAGGTAGCTGCACTCACGGATTTTAAAAGTCCCAAATTTATTGATTAAATGTTAAAAGACGATCAACGTTTCAGTCCTGCACAGAGGACTTTCATCAGGATGAAATGTCAAAGGTATTTGATCCTGATGAAAGTCCTCTGTGCAGGACTGAAACGTTGATTGTCTTTTAACATTTAATCAATAAATTTGGGACTTTTAAAATCCGTGAGTGCAGCTACCTATTTGGAAAATTATATATAATATACATATATATATACACTACAGCACCCCTCACACTGCACCACTACACACATTACATTCCAGGTACACACTAGATCCCTTACCCTATATACACTATGAATCCTCTACACACACACACAATCTCCTATACACACTCTGGGTCCTTTACACACTAGATCCCCTACACACACACTGCACCACCTACACACATTACATTCCTGACATACAAACTCTGGATCCCCTATGCACACACTACATTCCTTGTAAGCAAACACATACAACATTCTCTAAACACACACTCTCTACAACCCCTACACACTACGTCACTTATATACATACACACACTACAGCCCATATGCACACACTCGCTACATCCCTTATACACACTATGCCCCCTATACACACGCTATCTACAGCTCCTAACCACACATATTACACCACAAACATGAATTAAATCGACTTATTCACACAATCCCACACCACAATCAGCTCACTTTACACACGCAATCCCACAAGCAGGTTCCAAACACATGCACCATACGCTTTCCTGGCTCTTTTGTCCTCTGGTATCCCACTTATGGAGACACCAGAGACAAGTTAAAAGCAAACACAGCGCAAGCATGTTATTAAATTTGCTTGCATTGCGCAGAACAAATACAGGGCCTTTTTCTTATGCTAGAGCTCGTCAGCAGGGTTCTGCGCATTGAACCAACATGCTCACTTTAAGAGGGGGCGTGCTTGTCATTAGTGATGACAAAACACACCCTCTCTGGCCCCTCCCCCTTCTCTGGGGGCCGCTGTGATTGAAAAATGTCCGGGCCAAATTCTTTTCCCAGGCCGGCCCTGGCAGACGCTGTCTGCATTGTTGGTTCTGAAGGCAGCTTTTTACAGAGATGACAAGAAAATGATCTGTCTGATCAAAGTTGACAACACTGTGAAAAAAGCATTTTGAACTTTAAACAATAATATTAAAATAACTGCCAATAACCTAGATTTATACAGGAGAAGTATCTTTTATTCACGTTAAAATGCAGTTATTTTAAAGTGAGTTTGAAATCCATCAATATACTGACAACCGATACGTTCACGGCTACATTCTGAAAGGTTGATTTACAGCAATGCTTGACTTAATAGAAATAATCTGGTTTTATTACATCCCGGTTAGATAACATAAAACCACATTTTGGACACAAGCTGTGTTCTTATAATTGTGCTCCAAATCACAGGATATTTGTCTTCTTTCAGGAATCTCAGACTTTTTAATGTAATTTTCTGTGGTCGCACATAGGAGGAAAGAAAAAATAAATAAATGTTGTTATTGTTTTGTCTGTGCAATTGGCACACTAAGCGCTGTCAGCATCACCGTGATGCAACAGTTACCATGGAGATCAGCTTCTTATGTAAAAGAATGAATTCTGCAGAGTTTGTCTGAATTGATAAATAGGAGATGCTTTTGTAAGCAGCTCTTTCAGAGAAACACCGGAAGTACCAAAAGGGGGAAGTACATATTTGGCATTTGAGTACCTGTGACCGAGCATACCAACCACTAATCCATAGCTTAGTCACAGAGAGAGGAATATATGTATGAAAGGGATTCATTCTGTTGCTAGGGCAACCCACAGACTCTTCTATCTCTGAAGCACATTAGTTGCTAGTTACATACATGAATGCTATTAATGGGAATGTTCAATGAATGTGAACTGCAACTTGAAGATCTACTATTGTAAACATGACAAGCATAACATGCTTACTCCATTTTTTGTTAGACTTGTATTTCTCAATGATGTTGCAGTGTGGGCTCCTCTCCTTTGGTCCCTCTACATGCCCATTTGTGGCATTTTTCTCAGCTACATTCCTCTTTACCTATTCTTAGCTACACTCCTTTTTACCCTCTGCTGACAAATTTACGCACATCATGTCCTCTATATTCGGAGTCAGGTTCGGGTTAGGTGGTATATTAAAGAGTGTTGATGTGCATTTATAAAAATAAGTATTTTAAAAGAAGAATCAGTTATTTATGCTCACTAGATGAATTTAAAGGGATTTAGACATACATTATGATGTACTTTATTGCTGTGGCCCTCTATGATTCTTTAATACACACTGCACAACAGAGACTTGAAGAAGACGCTCATGTTTCTGTTTGTTGTTTGTCCAAATAAAGCAACAAACTGACTGAAGACATGTGCTTTATTACTTTCATGCTAAACTATTTAAAGTGAGAACAAAATACTTGGACCCTCATATTGATCTTTTTGGATGGTAATTTGAGAGTCTACCAATCACATTTCATGGTTTTCTAGAGAGACACCACATGAAAAAAAGAGGGATGGAGGAATTCTCAGAGATATAATCTTTAAACATTGGCAAAGATCTAACAACAAGTAGAAGTTGTTGGGTGATGTGTTATTTGTAGCAGTGATTTTAGCTTTTTGGTCTGGACTCAGCATTAGCTCCAATCCTGTCTTTTTTCTTAGCTTGAAGCACACTACAGAGCTTCTTTGCAGACTGCAAAGGCAGTCTACAAAGATATTTATTGTACACATTTATGGTGTAACTGCCCTTACTGCAGTGGTGTATCCTGGTTTTGTGCTGCCCTAGGCAGGACAAAACTCAGGCACCCCCCGCGCCGCCCCCACCCAACCCTTCCCCCCGCCCCACCTTCTAAATACACACACACAAACAGTCAGACACACACACAGTCAGACACACACACACACAGTCAGACACATAGAGTCAGACACACACACAGTCAAACACACACACAGTCAGACACACACACACACAGTCAGACACACACACACACACACACACACACACACACACACAGTCAGACACACACACACAGACACAAACACACACACACAGTCAGACACAAACACACACACACAAACACACACACACAAACTGTCAGACACACACACAAACGCACACAGTCAGACACACACACAGTCAGACACAGACACACACACACACACACACACAGTCAGACACACACAAACTCACACACACAGTCAGACACACACACACAGTCAGACACACACACACACGCACAATCACTCACATTAACACTTTTTTTTTAACACCCCCCCAGCCTCCTTACCTTTGGGAATGCTGGGGGTTGGGGGGTTCTCTCTCTCCCTGGGGTCCAGTGGCTGCTGGGCAGGCGGCTGGCGAGGGAGCATTTCCCCTGGCTCCCAGCCTCACTCTGCGGCGCGCGAGGGAGCTGAGCAGACCGCTCAGGGGAAGTGCTCTCTCGCCAGCCGCCCGCCCAGCCCAGCATGTCTGTTAGCCGTAAGGCTAACAAGACATTTGCCCTGGGCATTTGGGGGGTGGCTTTTTTTGCCGCCCCCTGTAAAATTCCGCCCAAGGCAAATGCCTTGTTTGCCTCGCGGCTAATACGTCCCTGCCTTACTCTATATTAAAACTTTTGTTTTATACTCTAGTAGCATTTTATTTCTGAAAGCTAAAAACTAAAAGTGCAACTGTGCTGCTTGCAAACCTCTATCAGCATTTGAACATTTTAATTTGTGTGTCACAAAAAATTGTATTTCTGCTTCTGTATCTGAAATATTACAAGATAAGGGATGCCATATGGTTACAGATAAACCTTCTACACCTCAATACTTATTTTAAAGATTAACTAATGATTGAAAAATGTAATTTGTACATAATGTTAACACAATAGGTATTTATGCGTGACTTAGCATGTAATAACTTGGCTGTGACTGTAGATCATTAAAGTCTAATGGGATCTCCATATGTCTAGACTGTAAGATCTGTGGGGCAAATACTGACCATATCTGAAAATATTTTACGTAAAAGGCTGATTAAACTGTCAGCTTTTAAATAATAATTTTATTTGCTTTTTTCTGTAGTTTTTATCCCAGTTCAATGTGAATTACCTTATGCCAATTAAAGAAATACCCTGGGCACCAAAAAACATTGTCGAAATTAAGTTATGGTGCCAGGAGGTCCCTGACACTGGCTGAATGGTTGCCTGGGTCTATTTTTAAGCAAGTTATATGGATGAGGAGCCACTGATTGGCTGAGAGTATCAGTTAATTGCTCTTAGACAATCAGCTGTGCCCCTGCCCAATGCTGCCCAAGCCTTCCTGTTTCGAGAATTTCACAAAGTGTAAGGACAGAGGGGCAGAGAGATCTGGCGCTGGAGAACAGACTTTGGGTCTAACAGTTTAACCCATAAAGGTGAGCCAGGGTCTTCCTGGCACAATAACAACTTTATTTCAATTAAGTTGTTACAGTGCCCAAAGCGTTCCTTGAAGAAACATGTAATATGTCCTGTCATTGGAGAGAAAGACTATTTTCTGATTACTTATAATTGTTCTGACCATGGGTGATCAGTGTAAACAATATGCCATACCAGGGGCATACTGCACAATGTGACGATTTTGATTCCTTGCAAAATCCTCATCTACTGAATGCAAATTCAGTCTGCAGTTGTTACCTTACGTAGCTCCAATTGCCAAAATTATATTCGTCATTTTCAACCCATTGGCTTTAGAAATATTGATGTGACTGACACGTTAAAGTACTAATGGATTATACTATGTTTCCTTCCTGCACATTTTCTATTCTTTAACATTTCGAAACAGATGGTTTGTTAAAATCCTACTTCCAGGTCTCTGGAGTGGAACCACTGTTGATTTCATTACGTGTGATGTTTTATTCAGCTTGTGGTGTAAGAAATGGGTTTGAGATTTTACAGAATGGGAGCTCATGGCAAAATGTGACCTTTCTTTACAGGTGATGTGCCTTCAGGATTTCTTTGGCGACGATGACATTTTTATTGCCTGTGGACCTGAGAAGTTCCGTTACCAAGACGATTTCTTGCTGGACGAGAGCGGTAAGAGAGTGTTAAAATAAGTTCCTAATCTTGAGTGAGGATCTGGATATGTTACAACACTTGCAACGT